GGGGGGGGGGGGGGGCACCCCTAAACTAGCGGAAGAGGCGACTGGTGCAGGCTGAGCAGCGCGCATCCACCGCGTCTTCGACGGATAAGCGGTGGACTACAAAGAGAACGACCACGTCGTCACCTACCTCAGGACCATTGGCAACAATCTTTTAGGATACTTCAAAATAAAACACTGTAAATCCCTTGGAAAATTCATTGAAATTGGGGCGAGTTAGCACTGGGGCGACCTGGGCTGGGGTGAATTGGGCATGGGGCGACTTGGGACTGGGGCGAGTTAGCTGGGGCGAGCTGTCCTAGATCCTTCTTTATTTACATTAGGATATATAATTTAGTTTTCTTTATCATGGGTTCGTTTTGCAGTTTACACGAAGAGTTAACGTTTTTTGAAAAACATCGATACGTGGTTTCGCCAGCGCCAGACTGCTGTGCGTTCTTTCCAATAGGGACGAGCGAAATTACCTGGTCATAACGTTTTATCACAAATGAATTGATCCACATTTGAATTACCAGAGTCAAATACGTATGTACAATGTCAAAGACTGCACATACTACCGTGAGTATATCTGCCATGTCTACTGTCTACGTTAAAGTATGTGTACATGGGCGTGTAAACATTTATAAATGCGTACATTGGCATGTACATAATAATAATAATAATTAAAGTTTACAGTCCATGTACACTTCATTCTAAGTATAAAATGTAAATTTACATAGGAGTAAATGACGAGAAAGCGTGAGTTGGCATTGGGGCCAGCTTTTTGAGAGTTTTTCGCGATTAAGACGCGAGTTTTTACGAGCTTCGCGAGTTAAGGGCGAGTTAGGCGCGGGTAAGTGTACACCGACTTCACGGAAAAAAAGAATTTGCTCCCACAACTAACGATTTTGTTAACATAGACATAAAAAATAATTTTTAGTTGCAGGAACAAAGAAATTGCTATGGGAACCAAAATTCTGCTGCCACAACTAACGCGTCGCTATGGTCGGCTATGGTAACAAATGCAACTGTTCTGGTTACTAAACGAGGATTTTTTCTTACAACAAACGCATTTGTTACCATAGCGACGCGTTAGTTGTGACAGCCGAATTTTGCTTCCCATTGCAAATTCTTTGCTCCTGCAACTAAAATTGTTTGTTATGTCCATGTTAACTAAATCGTTAGTTGTGAGAGCAAATTCTTTTTTTCCGTGTTGGCTAGTGGGGGACCCCTCGATACATGCACTGTTAACAGAGCCAACAGTGCGCCGAAAATGGACAGAAATCAGCAATTTTCACTAAAATACTGATGGCCAGTTACTGTTTTCGAGAGAGGTAGTTAACATAAGACTGTATAAGTTAATATTCAAAGTGGCAAAGCTTGAAGGATAAAATATTTGTTTTGCCTCCTCTACGTCAGGTATTGTGAAGGGAGAACAACAATTGTCAATTTTGACATAAATACTAATAGTGCGGAGCTCTTTTTCAATCGAAATGTTTATGTGATAGCATAGAGAACGTCTTAAGTGGGAAAAGAACATGTCTGCGACATTATACTCAATATAATCGAGATAAACCGTGTGGATGGAGACCTAGCCCCTGGCGGAATTACCCTCAGAGCGCTCTAACCTAAGTTTAAAGTGCGAATATTCCCAATTTTTATGTGCTCAAAAGTTAACCAAATCAATTCCATTCTATTCATAAAATTATCCCTGGTATTTTTTGTGGTTTCGTTAAAGAGGATACCATTTTCACTTTACAACAGTTTTCATTCACATTCAGTGTGGAGAGTCCAGCATTTGTTTCGAACGCGTCAGTACCGTGGATGTTTCTTCCTTACGTTACCTTTATGACCAACTGTCTTGAACTCGCGATATGCATGCGCATGGGCCAAGATTGTGTGGCGCGTGCATTTGTACGGGTCTATATCCTCAGGAGAGTATAGGCCGGAAGTCAGAAACAAATGTGGAAAGTACGTGCAGTATACATTTGGCTCGTTGATAGTAGTCCACAGTTGAACCTAAGGTCATTAAAATGTTGTTTAATGAAATTATGTTGATTATTTTTGAATATACAGAGAGATAGTCTATGATAAACACTCTAGAACGGGCTTACGGGCTTATAACTTGATTTGTTTTGACATAACGAACTGCGATATGCAGAACGAGTACTTTCAGCGGTTCGAAGAACATCAAGAAATGCCAAGATATGGCTGCCACGGAACGCAACAAACATCCAACTGTTTTCCTGAGCCGCGCTCACGCTCGGGAGCCCAACCTCCCTAACGTTATGTTGCGTCTGTTAGAATCTAGAATATAGTATTCTTAAAATCGGGCAGACGAGTAGACGATAAAAACGACATCGGATTTATACGAGCGCCATTAAATTCTAATCGAAGAAAAATAGGCAATGTTAACAAACATTTCAGAAAAGGGCACACGATGAAAAACGTATCTTGTTTTACAAGACCTGGTCTTGAATCTTATGGAGAACGCCAATGCCAATGGCATCCAAGACCAGGTCTTGCGATACAATAAACTATTTTCGCCGTGCATACTATCTGAGTAACAAATCTGACAAAGTTGTAATTTAGGTTGAAATTTTAATTTTTAGTTCTCTCTTTCCTATGATTAATATGATACTCAGGCTGGCCCTGATAGACGCAATGTAACGTTGAGCGCGATACCGAGCGGCGGTAAGCAGCCGCTTTGGAAAAACAAAGACTGTTGTGAACCGTGCTGGCTATATTGGAATTTCTTCTAAATGTAGACAGCAGATATTATATTGTAATATCGTCTGTCCATTGTATGCAATAAAGCAGCGCTATTTCACGGGAGAAAACAACACCGTGATTTCACACCTAATACCTTTTTTGTTTCTCTAAAGTCTTATGTTTGCGTATCCTCACCCACCGGTATTAATTTCCCAATGTAATGCGTGCCAAATTTGCATCTTTTCAATACTCAAATTGTATTCATGTTGAAGGAAGATATTCGCCAATTGGTCACTCGCGCAGTATTAAGAAAACTTCGTTTAGCCAATACCAGAACACATTTCAAGAAAAAAAAGGAAAAAAACATTTCCTTTTGTTATTTTAAGCCCGTTACGTTTAGACGCTGTTAAAGAACTCTCAAAAGTGCAAATTTTCGTTGACTCTAAATACAAACCTTTGAGCCATATTCTTCAAATACAAATCGAGAGTACTCCGTGAAATATGATACAATTTCTTCCCCTTGAAATCCTTTGAACATCGTCTCAAGTAGTTGTGGATGGTCGAAATGATACAACGTAGCCTTTTGAAAAAGAAAAAAATACGTATCGTGTTAGATTATAAGGAGCGCACAAAGCGCACATCGCAGGTTTTGGAGAAAAATGTTAATCTTTGCTCTTATTGTAAGCTAAACTTTGCGATAAAAAGTTAGCACATTGTTTTCTTTTTAAGTTTTCCCAACACCTGCCTCTCATCGCAAGTTACTATGAATTTTGTTAGTAAGCATTTTACAAGCATGCATTTAGAAATCCCTTATGCAAACGGCAGGTGGCCGCTTCTCGCACCTGGCCTCTAACAAAGGAACCTTTTTAGGTGTAAATCTGCGATTTCGTTGAAACTTGGAGAATTTGAAGGTTATTCATGTAGAAATCGGATGGCAATTAGACGGCCCACGATACAGTCGGAGTAATTGGAAGCGAGTTTAGATTGAGTACAGCAGAAGCACACCTGACACACTAAACGTCGGACGTCGGTATTTTAAAGTACAGTTTAGTACGGTTGAGTACACTTTAAGTGCTATACATAGAAACTAGGGGTACAAGTAACTTTCATCTACACAGGATTCATCGCTCGCACGTCGATGTCTCCATAATTATTTTAACAATTTGTAAGTAGTTTTTTTTTGTAAAGTTAGTGAATCGCTGGGTGATCAACTGTAATAAAGGATAACTTTACCAATGGCGTCATGTTGTAGCGCAAGATCTCGTCGATGAACTCGTGGTAGAACTTAACACCTTCTGTGTTAGGTTCCGAAACGTCAGCTTTGGGTAGGAGCCGTGACCATGAGAAGGAGAAACGATACAGCTTGAGCTGGAAAATTGTAAGAAAATATGTCACAATCGTATTTACGCCAGGTGATAGGTTTAGAGAGCCAGAGCCAGAGTAAAAAGGGGGGGGGGGGTAACTCAATTCAATAAGGATGAGGACCGAGGTTTATTCGAGGGGGTTTCCACTCTCCAAAATCATGACCCGACTACTCCCTATTACCTTTATTACCTCTATTACCTATGTATTACCTCTCTATTACCTTTCTATTACCTCTATTACCTTTCTATTACCTCTATTACCTCTCTATTACTTCACGGAAAAAAAAGATTCGCTGAGTCAGCTAATATATTGACTGGTATCTGGACAGACAAGCACATAAACTTCTGCTTTGGCAGAGCCAATGATTGATTAGAGTAGACAATATAGTGGTTACAGAAGTTTATGTGCTTGTCTGTCCAGATACCAGTCAATATATTAGCTGACTCACCGAATCTTTTTTTTTCCGTGTTCTATTAAGTAACCATTACGCGTCTATTACACGACTATTACAAGATCAATACATTGCCTTCACCGTCGGATTTTTGCTCTAGATTATCGTAGGAGCAACTTCAGCACCAAAGACTGCCAATAATAACGTGCGCCGGCCGGTGCGTCGTACTTCCCCCTTACCCCCTCTCCCATCCGTCTATCCGAGCGACTTCTAGAAAATACGAAGCATCGCCAAAATCGGAGGTACACAATGTTTCAGAGACGTCGTGGACAACAATAAAAACAAACTTTTACACCTTTTCCGTTCACATTACCTTTATAGGGGGCGCTTGTATCTCCCAAAAAGTATTTTTGGTACGTTTGTCAATAAAATAGTTTCTGCACCACTGTAGGTGTAGGGATGGAACCTGAAGGTATATTTCTCCCACAAGGGATGGTTTAACACACAAACAATATTCGAATGAAATGAACTTAAGGTAGGGCCCTAGTGAAAAAATACCGAAAATCGCAAAAACGTCGGATTAGTAAGGTTAAAAACGGTCTAGGGCCTCGTAGACCAAAAACTCGACCTTGAAGTTGTAGAACAGAGCTCTCTGATAAAAACAAGATGTGAACAAAATTTTTCCGTCGAAATTTGAGACATCTGGAACTTTTTCCGTACAGGTCTCAGGCCTCTACTGAAAAGGTTCCAGGTGTCCCAAATTTTGACGGAAAATTTTCGTTCACATCTTGTATTCATCAGAGAGCTCTGTTCTACAACTTCAAGGTCGAGTTTTTGGTTCACGAGCCCCTAGACCGATTTTCAGTTTTTCACTAGGGTCCTACCTTAACTTTGAAGTGGTCCCAAGTGTGTACCTTTATTTTCATAGGATATCTTCTTTTAAAGTTAACACGCAGGATTTCTCCGGAAAAAGTTGTGATAACAAAATGGTCAATAGCTTGTTCGTTTCAGTTCATCAAGGGCTACAGATTGTAGGGCTACAGACCCCAACATAAGGGTTTAACTGAATTTTGAAAAATAAAACTTATTCATAATAAGTGACTTTTGAAAATATATATTTTTAACTCAATATAGAGAATAATTTTTATTTTTCAAAATTCAGTAAAACCCCTTTGTCAATCTTTAGTCCTTGATGAACTGAAACAAATAAGCTATTGACCAGTTTTTCATCACCACTTTCTCCGGAGGAATCCTGCGTGTTAACTTTAATAGAAGATATCCTATAAAAATAAAAGTACACACTTGGGACCTCTTCAAAGACAAGTTCATTTCAATCTCATATTTTTAATGTGTTAAGCCATCCCTTGTGTTGAGAAATATACCCCCAGGTTCTATCCCTACAGTGGCTCAGAAACTAATTTTATTGACAAATGTCCCAAAAATTCTTTTTGGGAGGTAAAAGCCCCCTTCATAGGCAACTATTAGCAAGTATTACGTGTCTATTACCTGTATTACCTGTCTATTAACTCTATTACCTTTGTATTACGTCAATTACCTGACTATTACCTCTATTACCAATATATTACCGGACGGGCGACCCGACTATTACTACCTGAGTGGAAACCCCCTCGGGTTTATTAGCTAAATTCAAACTAAAGGTTCATTTTTCCTTTTTTTTTTTTTTTTGAAACAGAGTCAATTGGTAAAAACATTGATTTTTTTCTATAGACATGAATTGGGTGCTAATTGCCCAAAGTGGGCACAAACAGAAACAAGCAGGCGCGCCCTTCCGCCAAACGGAGTTGCCAGCTCCACTTCGCTGCGCCGGCAGCTCCGTTTGGCAGGGGCCGGGCCTGCTTGGCCTGCCTGCGGCCCGAGCGTTTCATTTACGAAATTTGCTGAAGAACATAATCAAATAATATAGCAGACCTTCGGCCCGCTGAAAATCGCTTTAAAATTTGCCTCTTAGACATGAGAAAGGAATATAACGGTGACGTACCGTGACTACAACTCACCCTTCTGCCTAGAAAACCTTTTTATTTTTAATGAGGGAGGGAGAGTTAGTTTTTTTCCCACTTTGCGATTTGAGGCCTTCTTCTACTACTTAATGTCCACTACAGTAATTTTTAGTTTATTTTCGTCAAAAAAGACCCGCCAGCGCCTAAACGGTCAGAGATAGGGCCAAACAGACGAAATTTTCGTTCAAAGTAATCAATTGTTCAATTTGGACGAGTTAAGGGAGGGTGGGGCAGTGTGTAACAGATTTTGGAAATTGGCTATAAAAGCAAACCATACAAAAAAATGGGTAAATCAGGCGCAAAAGAATAGATTGGACCTTTACTAAAAATGAAAGTTGCTCGGATGTGTTACTTGGCGCATTCCCGTTCGACCTACAGCTTGTCGAAAAAAGGTCTGCATTTGTTAGGGATCGTACCCAAACCACACGACGCATTTTAGGGGAGGGGGGGGGGGAGGGTGAAAACAGCACTCACCACCACCAGGGGGGAGGGGGGTGTTTCGGCCAAGTTGAGTGACTATTAATTACCTGCTCAAATAAGCATGTTTTTGAAAAATACTAACACAAATCCGTTTATTGCGTGATAAATCACTGAAATCTGACAGTGTTTCATCGAAAAGTCACCACTAAATTAAGTTTTGAATATCAGCAAACATGCACTTTTTGTTAAAATGTAATTGAAAACACCAAATTGGTACTTATTTTGGATACATTTTGTGATCTTGAACTATAAACAAAGCATTGTGCCTCAGTCAGACTGTTGGGCACAGGCACATTATTGCTAAGCAAATCAGACGATTCGTCTCATTATACACTGCCCCATACTATCCCAGACGTTCATGTTACATACTGCCCAATGGTACCGTGTGTAACTGAGGATGCGCAACAGTGTTGCGGGATTGCATACCCGCCAGGGCTGCAGGGGCCATGGCGCCTTACGGGCTAAATGGGTAGGCAAACACGCAACACTGTTACGCATTCTCAGTTACACCCGGTACACAGCCCGTTATGTGGCCTCGTAGGCCGAGAACCCTCGAGGTTGTGTTAGTGACAACGACTATTTAACAAGTGCTAAGGTGTCCACTTCGATAGAAAATCATTAGTTCGGGGGTTGTTTGTAACCCAACGACCTCAACCAAAATAATAATGTCGTAATATGATGAAAATTGCCTAAAAGTCGGGTGAGCCCAACTTGGCCGTCCTCTCACCACCATTACAGTTCCCCAACCAAAGCGTTCTCGATTGCAAACGACTTTAGTCATTCAAAACACACAATATGACCATTCAAATTTGGTTCCAGACGTGCCATATTCGAAATACGGAGGTACACACTGCCCCTATTACACACCCTGCCCCTAAAAAGAACATTAAAAAAATTACTTTTTGGTCGAATTCTTGATTCTTTGATACACCCATGCACACCCTTAGGGGTGGTTGCCAGGATTTGCCGTAGGCGTTTTGTTCTCTAGGAGTGAACCTCAAGATACCCTGAAAATTTCAAGAAGGAGATGTGCTAGAGACTTGAAATTTTCAGAGTATCTTAAGGTCTACTCCTAGAGAACGAAACGCCTACGGCAAATCCTGGCAATCACCCCTAAGGGTGTGAATGGGGGTATCCAAGGTTTAAAAATTATCCCGAAAAGTAATTCTTTGTTCATTGTTCCCCTAAGAGATAACTTCTCAAGGTAGTCCCCTGCCCTGGACGAAAATTTCGTCCGTTTTGCTCTACCTCTAACCGTTTACGCGCTAGAGGGCCTTTTTAAACGAACCCGTTTCTACCGCGCCGCGCGCGGGGGGCCACAGCGCCATGTCGCCGCGACCACCTGTTGGAGTGCAATTCCACATTACCTCAGTACCGCCAACAATCGACACTGTGCTCAAGGCCCCGCCCACCGCCCCTTTGTTCAGTGTGCCCAAAACAGAGAGCAAAATGAAGTAAATTTCTAGAATGTTACAGCCACCAAGCTTTCTGGTGGTCAACCGAACTTTCTGCGGTGCACACATACATGCGACCACACCGACAACATAGTTTCAATTTAAGTACAGGTGGTCACTGCCTTGGTCAGAGCGAACACCTCTATGTTCAGTGTTCAGTGTTGCGGGTCGGCATACCATTTCATGCTGCAGCGGGCCATGACCCAATATGGGCTGACAGCATAGGCTAACTTAACACTGTTACATCCCGTACAACTGAAAATGTTTATTGACATTAGGATTTATAATTTAGTTTTCATCATCAAGGGTTCGTTTCGCAGTTTACACGAAGTGTTAACGTTTTTTTGACGAAAATAAGCTGAAAATTGTGTTCGCAAACAATAAGTTGTAGAAAAAAAGCCTAAAAACCGCAAATAAGGGAAACTCTCCCCCAACCGCCAAAAAACGTTTTCTAAGCAGAAGGGTGGGTGTGGTAGTCGCGGTGCTTCACCGTTACATCCCTTTCTCGAGTCTTTGGGGCAAACTTAAAGACAACAGGTTTAAGCGGGCCGAAGGTCCGCTACATCATTCGATCATGTTCTTCAGCAAATCGCGTGACAGAAATGCGCAGGCCTGACCATCGCCGCCGGCAGGCCAAGCAGGCCCGGCCCCTGCCGAACGGAGTTACCGGCGGAGCGAAGTGGAGCTGGAACTTCGTATGGCGGAAGGGCGGGCCTGCTTGTTTTTTAATATTAACACCAGAAGAACCTGAGGGGTAAAAATGACTCCTTTTGATTTTTAATATTCAGATTAACTACGAACTATTTTGTTGACCTATTCATCACTTTTCGATTTTTCAAGTACTGAAAGACACTTGGAGGCAAAATATGAGGTCTCTGCAACAAGAACTTTCGAGGATATTACTAGAAGGACCGACGGGTCATTTTGACCCCTTCTCGTGATTTTGTAAGTGTAGACTGACGAGGACTGAGTTTTTCCTCAAAAGGCTGACCGCATTTGTCAATTACGTTAACTTATGGTGTTGGTCGGTCATGTGACGCTTTTAAACTTCCTTATTCGGCGAAGGTAGGCAACACGCACGTCACTAAAGCCCGTTTCTAAATCACATTATCACAGCACATCCAAGGCTTTAATAGTAGTTGCGTCACCGGAATCGTGTCGTAAGGCCAAAGGGAGCTTGTTGCACAAAGTATAGATGATTTTGCGAATGCTAATACCACCGCGCTCATTTTTGTCGATGCCAAATTGGTAAAAACTAAAATGTTTTCGCGTGGATCACACTCCCGCTTTTAGAGTAGACATGCGTGCTGTAAATCACGCAACAATAAATGTGTACTAAGTCGAATAATAATTTTGAAGTTTCAAAACGTCTAGAATGGCGCGAACAGTTAACACAAATAGCTGTAAAATTCGAAAAAAGGTTTTAAACCGTGCGGGTTTCCCTCCGTAATACATTTTGAACCTACTCAATGTCACATCATGGCATCAGGTACAGTTAAACACACAAATTCTTAATCATGTGCCATTAAACTGCAGCCTTAAAGCCATAAAAATGGCAAAACATCGTAAAGGGGTCAAAATGACTCCTCCGGTCCTTCAAGGTATACGAAAATCTCGCTCCTTTTAGTGTTAAATGTTTGCGAGATGATACCTCGTTAAATTGGAGCCCCTATTCTTTAACGTTTCATTACAGTTTCTGTAACAAAAAATAAATAAATATTTTAGAATTCCTTTTATTATTGTGTGTACTAATTACACTGTTGAGTTTGCCGTGTAAAAGCACTACCGACGAGAGGCAACGAAACTGCTTCGTGAGTGCTTGGCCGAACGAACGGACAATTGTTCGTTGCGGTCACTTCCTCACCTTTAAAAGTGCAGCCATTCGTATGTCCTCTCGGAATTTGTGATATGAGTCAGCCGCCACGTCATGCGCGTGAGGATTTTTCATACCAAGCTTGCCGAGGTGCAAAACGTGGTCTGCTGCGCTTTCAGCTTTCCCTAGAAAAAAAAGGTGAGTCCGCTGTTTCCAGGCTTGGCATCGACGAGTAAATAGGTAGGCTCGAGCGTTAACATTAAACATCGAGGTTTACTTTGGTTGTTCCGTATTTATTCATTTAAATAGTTTCAGTTTACTTTCAATTTGGCATAAATTGTTTGGTCAAAAGCATTCACATTATGGGGGCAGTAAGAATTGCCCGTTATTTTCTTGGCATTTGTTTTTGATCGCTTTTGTTTAGCTGGGATGTCCGCCACATCGCGTGGCGTTGGCCGGAGCCACGAGCCTCGCCTACCTAAGACTGCACTTTATCTTTTGCCCTATGATAGAGTCATAGTTTAACCTTTCTATTCCTCACTAATTGGATTTTGGGGGTTTCGTGGGAGGAGAGGTATAGGGCCTGGGACACCATCTTCTTTTGTATTGTGTTTGGAATTCACCCTCGCCACGGACCTGTCTGGTGTATAGGGTGATTTGAAAAAAATTAATTTGTGAATAAAGGTGTTGTTGCTATTGAAATGTAATCCTGTTAATTACCCCTCTACCCGATAGTGGAAGTACTAGATTACAATTAAATAATTCTAGGGGCGGCCTGTGTCCACGTGGCGCCCAGGCTGACTTTCTAACCACCACCTGCTACCGCATTTTTAGCCCGCCCTTCTGCTTTGAAAAAGCTATCCAGCGGGCTCATGCAAACGACCTCGTCCTCGTGTGTGTCTGTCTGTCTGTCTGTCTGCGTGTCTGCGTCACTAGAAGGAGATGTGCTAAAGACTTGAAATTTTCAGGGTATCTTCTGGTCCACTCCTAGAAAACGAAACGCCTACGCCAAATCCTGGCAACCACCCCTAAGGGTGTAGATGGGGGTATCCAAGGTTCAAACCTTCTCCCAAAAAGTATTTTTCCTTTTTATGTTCTCCGTTAAGGCGCTACAGGGTCTTTTTTTGACGAAAATAAGCTAAAAAATGCCATAGTTAGCAATAAGTTGTAGAAAATGCCTAAAAACCGTAAAATAGAAAGGAAACTCTCCCCACACTCCCAAAAAACGTTTTCTAAGCAGAAAGGTGGGTTGTAGTCGCGGTGCTTCACCGTTACATCCCTTTCTCGAGTCTTTGGGGCAAACTCAAAGACGACGGGTTTAAGCGGGCCGAATGCCCGCTTCATCATTCGATCATGTTCTTCAGTAAATGGGGGCAGCCCGACATGTCCAAGGTAAATACGTCCACAACAGTTTGGACGTAAATGAAGCGCGTTGCAAAAACATGTCCAATGATTTGGACGTAAATTAACGCCTACGATTGTTACGTCCACAGTGTGGATGTACTTACGATCCGTGTAAGGCTGGCAAATATAACTCCACAAAATCGGGCGCTTATTGTCACCTCTGGGATTTACACATCCTCAGGCATGACAAAAGGAACCAAAGAGTATGCCTGTATGTCTGTTTCTCCTCTGCATTGATAAACTAAGTTATCAACTGTTCAACACTTTTGAAGTGTGCAACAGAGTTGTTCTGCTCTTGCAAGTGTAGCTCGCGACATGAGCGGCAATATGCACTGAGCCCAAACCGGGAATGTACCCCACGGTAACATCAGAAACAATCACACACAATCAGAAACAATCACGCGCAATTAGAAACAATCACACACAATCGGAAGCGATCACATACAATCGTGCATTTTTTCATCTTAAATGAAAAGTCAAATCTTCATGAAAATTGTATTTTTCCTCTAACAATAGAAAATGTTCCCCTAAGCAATTTACTTCTAAACATTCACTAGGGTTAACAATCACGCCTTACCGTATGAGTTCCATGCCCCTTCTGTCTGCAAAGCGGACACGCCAGCACCTATCAGCAGTTGTTTTGGCACGGTGTAAGGGTCTTCCTGATGTGGCATGATGCCTCCCTGAGCCATGGCCACAGCCATCACCCATGCAGTGAAGACATATGAATAAAACATGGTGTTTCTGTAACAAACGGTGTTCGTGTTCGGGTCAATCTTAAGACTTCACATAGAAGAAAGCAAGTGGCCCTGAACACGGTTAAACAGGGTAAATGTACTCCAGGGACACCTGTGGCGTAACAGGCTTTCGCGATACAGGCTTCCGCGATACAGGATTTCAACGGAGTCCCAGCGTCGAGGTCCAGGGTTCAACTCCCTTCACCTTTAGTTCCAAGATCGTCATTCGGTAAGGTAAGTCAAGATAAAATAACATGCGATTCGACGCATCCGTGCAACAAAGGCGGATCAGAGAGCGGTCGCTGAACAACGGCGCATCAGAAAGCGGTCGCTGAACAACGACAGATCTGCTTTTTGCTGATCTCTGCTTACTTGACTTTGGAGGTCTCTGACTCTCCTTAGATATCGCATCATTTTGGGTGCTGTCTTTTTTTATACACGAGATGATGACAATTAAAATGGTGTTTCACTGAAAACGATACAACTTCTCCGCGATGAGTGAGAGGCCTCCAAAGTCAAAAATTCCGAGTTCACCGTCGGACGATTACGATTACGAACAGAGATGGGTATGAAAGGACCTCAGAGGTAATTTCACAAGTGGTGGGCTGGAAAGTTTACTTTCGCAACCACCTGGAAGGGGATTTCCCCATACCGCTGCGTATTTCCTCGCCATGGAAAGGAGATTTCACCGTGACGGGTGGCCACCCTTTTCCCGGGGAAAGTAATCTTTCCAGCCCACGGACGATAAAATTCAGGAGAGATTTCGGTTGAACGCAAATGGGCACAACAGGTCTTATAAGCTGCAGCGGTACTCAAAGAAATGATTTCCATGCCTCTTAAGCTCTGTCATACTCCGGTAAAAATTTGCACAAGGAATTTGTATTGCGATAAACTGCCGCTAGATGGCGTTGCAGTGATCGCGTCTCATGAAACCCAGTTATTCATATTTTATTTAAAATTCCATTGCAAACTGCCTTTTAATTTTACGTGGTATGTTAACGTCTCGTGTAACAGGCTTCGCGATATCTCACGAAACAATGTTACGCTGCGACGCGCCTGGAATACATCTACCTTGGCCTGCGGCGCTGACACCCGAGTTTGGTAGTACAAAAAGATACGCACTGAGAAAAATTTTTGGTGCCAGGCACTAAAACTTTAGTGCCCAGGTCGAAAGTTTTTCGACGCACAAAAGTGTTTAGTTCCAGGGGCAAAAGGCGTTTAGCGCGCCGACTTTGGTGCCAGGCGCTAAATAGATTAGGCAGTGGCACTAAAGAATATGCAAGCTCACAAGGGAAGGTTTTTAGGTGGTACACACCAATTTCGTTGGGCGCGATACATATTGCAGGGGACATATGTAGATTAAGATTCGCACCAGTTTTAGCTGCCCATACTCTGTTTTTCGTTTGTTTTGGACAATTTTTAGTAGGAAAACATCATAAAAGCAGCAAAAATGTGATCTTCAAATGCCCATATCTCCGGAACCGTTTGAGCTACACCGCCCAGATTTTGCACAGAGGTAGGCCGAATTGGTAACTAAATTATCGTGAAGCATAATTATTTTCGAAAAACATCGAAGAAAATGTCACAAACTATGTGCACCTTTCTTACTTGAATTTCGACTTGGATTTCGGACCGTTTCAACAATTTTTTTCGACTCTTCTCATATTTTTAGACGGTTAAGGTATCTATGCGGACTACCTCTGTGCAAAATCTGGGCGGTGTAGCTCAAACGGTTACGGAGATATAGGCATTTGAAGATCACATTTTTGCTGCTTT